GAAGGCGGTGGAGGAAAGACAGGAGATGAATCTGAATATCAAATACTGAACAACTTCACTCAGAAAAAAAAAAATCAGTTTGATTCAGAGCCTTGTCTTGAGAAAGGAGGGAAGGGGGCAGGGCACAACATAGCCCTTGAGGAAACAAGATAAACTGGTTAGAACCAACTCAGACCAAGATGGCAGGAGAGTCAATTCCCAGTAGACCTTGAGGCCCAAGATGGTGCAAGATTTGACTTCCAATAGACCTTGAGCTTCAGTATACAATCACTGCAATACAGCAGCATGGTGAGTGACATGCCCACAGGCACCGTGACAGTTCCCAGGCTGACCGTAAAAGACCAAACAGTGCGCAGGGGGTCCTATTCCTGGAAATCCTCACCTCTTCCCCAAAACCATATGAATAACCCTCCTACTTGTTAGAATATGAAATTATCCAGCCCATCAAAACCAACCACCCCTTCTGAGATGGACCACATTCTGGTCTATGGAATGTGTATCTCTCTAAATAAACTTGCTTTCACTTTACTATGGCTCGCTCCTGAATTCCTCCCTGAGTGAGCCAAGAACCTGCTCTCCAGCGACAGCCTGAATTAAGATTCAAAATGAAATTTGAATTCCTTTTCAAGGACGAATGTTAGCTCCCTTTCTACCAACAGTATTAGAAATGAAGGTTCATGCTCTCATAAATAGGTATAAATGAGTTATTAATATATTAACGACTTACAAATATCCATGCGATGGGTTTTATAATGAATTGTTCACTTAAGCATTTCCTTATGAGAAAATTATTGTAGATGAAATAGGATCTTCTCTTCTGCTTTGTGACCCCCAGAACCCATGCTACAAAGTTAACATGGAATCTCTCTATAGGTTTCTGAGCAGAAGGCATCACAAAGAGAGTTAAGATCCAGTCTCCTACTGGGGAAGAGGAGGTGTCACGATCATATTAGGAAAGAAGAGATCAGTGTCTCCTTTCCTTTATGACGAAGAGGTTATCAAGGCTGAGGCTACTTGGCAAGTGTCTCTGCACTCCGTCCTAATCCAGTCATTCTCAACCTTGGAGTTACCTGGGGAACTTGAGAACATGCGGATGCCTGGGTCCCACCCTAGAATTTTTCGTTTCTTAATTTGTCTGGAGGGTGGATTTTTCAGTTCTCCAGAGGACTTGAGTACACAGCCTAGGTTGATATCTTCATAGAAACTTTTCTGGCAGTGGTTCCTCTGCTTTCAACCAGAATCACCTGGAGAAGGTGTTAAAAAAAAGTTTCCTCTGGGAGTTTGAAATTTGCAGATACTGACTGGTACGTATAAAATAGATAAGTAAGTTTATACCGTAGAGCACAGGGAACTATATTTGATATCTTGTAGTAGCTTATGGTGAAAAAGAATATGAAAACAAATATATGTGTATTCATGTATGACTGAAGCATTGTGCTGCACACCAGAAACTGACACAACATTGTAAACTGCCTGTACCTCAATAAAAAGAAGAAGAAGGAAAAAAAGTTTTCTGAAGCCAGAGATTGTGACCCAGCAGGTCTGAGATGGGGCCCGAAAATTTGCGTTTCTAATCAGCTCCCAGGTAACGATGATACTCCTGGTCCATTGGCCACGTTTGGGATTGGACTGATTTAAATAGGATGTTAGGAGTTAGGAACGTTTATCTTCATGACTATCATTTAATAAAGACCCATGTGGGCCCACACCTAAGCTGTTATTGGTCAGCGAGGGAGCACCAGGCTCTATGCTGGGCACTGGCCATATACAGTCATATAAAATGGCGTCCTAACCCTTAAGGAGCTTGAATCCAGTTGAGCAGAAAGTAAAGCCACACATGACATCACCATCATTTCCTTTTGCAACCCAGCCCTCCCCCCACCCCCACTGCAATCTAAGAAAGTTTGTGGTGGTTCCCATTAGCATCCTTATAATCACAAGTCTAATAAAAGGTAGTCTGGGACATTATGCTGTACACCAGAGGCTGACACACTGTACGTCAACTGGCAAAAGAAAAAGACAGCCTGGAATAAATTCTGCTACCTTCTCACCCCCAGCCACTTGGCCATGCTTCCTCACCACTCCACTTGGGCCTTTCAGGTGGCCTTTGCTTCCTGACACCCCCTGCCGAGCCCTTCTGTTCCTGCCTTTCCGGGTCCTCCGCATGGCAGACTCCCATCCATCTTCCTTATTTATTTATTTACTTATTTGTTTACTTATTTACTTATTTATTTATTGCAAGGCTGGGGATAATTAGGTTTATTTATGTATTTATTATTTTTTAATGGAGATGCTGGGGATTGAACCCAAGACCTCGTGCATACTACGCACGCACGCTACCACTGAGCTCTACCCTCCCTCCACCACCCATCTTTCAAGTGACAGCTTAGCTCCTCTCTGGACACCTTCTCTGACCTCACCCCCAGGCTGGCTCCCCACTTCTGTTTCACTTCACAGAACCCCAAATCTGTCTTTGTTAGAGAATGTATCACACATCAGGGTCATTTCCTATAGACGTATCCATGTCCCTCATCAGCTGGCAAACACTTTAAGGCAGAGTAGCCTTCATCTTCACGCTTCTAGAGCCTAATCCAATAACATATGCTTACTAGTGTTTACAGTCACGCGTGTGCGAGCGGGTGACAGGATAAAACATGTAAGATATGCTTTAGAAACAGAGAAAAGCAAGCATCATAAAAACTGGGCTGAATACAGGAGGTGAACATGAATGTATAGAAATGGGTTGGAGAGGAGGTTCTATCTGAGCTGGGAGCCTGAGCTGGAGCCTGAAGTTTCAAGGCAGGTATTCAGAGGACAGACAATACAATAGAAGTCTGAAGGTCAAACCATTCGGGCTCTGAGCACTAGGCTGAGGTGTGAGCCCAAGAAAGCAGGAGAATTTTTAAACAGGGGAACAAGATGGTCACATCAACCCTTTGGGGTAATAACTCCACTGACAGGGTTAAGGCCAGAGTGGGGGCAAGGGTTTACCAGCGGAAGTGATAGCCCCTAACAGCACCTGTCTCATGGGCTACCCTCACCGTTCAGATGAGCCCATGAGATGGGCTCTGTCCTCCCCACTTTACAGTGATAACAGGCTTTAAAGGGACACTTTGATGTTCTCAGAGCTTATGAGTGGCAGCGCCCGGCTTGAAAGTCAGGTCTGACCCCAAAGCCAGGCTCCCCAGTGCCTCCCTGCCCCTGCCTCTTTGTCAGGCTTAAAAGTGCAGGGGTGACAATTCATGATGCTTGTTGACTAGTTTGAAGAGAGTCTTTTCCTCTGAGAATTCGCCTCAGTCAATATACACTTTGGATACAGGAAAGCGGCCTGTTTGTTCACAGCAAACATCACCAAAGGCAGTATGCACTGAGGAACTACAAAAACTCTTGACACTTATGAATGTGCTATAAGCAAGTAACCCCTTGATCAGGGCAAACCCTCAGGCGATACTCTCAGTTCTGTACCCAGGTGGCTCCAACACAGCATCTCACAGCAAGTCAGGGGTGTGTGTCTATCTGGGCAGATGGGGTGGGTGAGCTGGCATGCCTGGACGGAGGCACAGGAGGCATCTCTCATTAACCAGAGGAACCCGGAAGAACCTGGATGACCACAGTCCTACTCAGTCCAAGGAAGGGCACTCTCCTTCTCTCACAACCCCTCGCTCTGATTTCTACCACCTGGGGACGCTGTGGAGCACATAATCATACATCCTCACACCCCAAAAGTGGGCCAGCTTCCCCAAATCCCACCTTCCTTCTCTTTGATCACATCAGGAGATCATTTTTCATCCAGGCCCCCACCCTGCCGACTGGGTTTGGACTGCAGCCATCATGTCCCCACGGAGTGCTTGCAAGGTAAAGTAATTACACTTCACCATACTCATGGCTCCTGCGGGATTCAGAGAAGAAAGTCCTTAGCACTTGAGCATCAGGGATCATGCCCGACAGGAACTCCCCCAGCAGCTGCAGGATCCTGGCTGGCACCATGCCCAGCCTGTCCACAGCTCCCCGCAGGCAGAAGCTGGGGGCTGGGGATTATTAACGTCAAGGTCTTACTCAGATGGGACCTGAGAGGTCCTAGAACTCACTCCATCCCCCTTCATCCAAAAGCTGCCCTGGCCTCTTTATGGATGCAGCTAAGATGAAACCCACCCTCAAGCAAGTCTGACCATGAGATTGCACCCTCACCCACATCAAAGTGTGAGCCTAGGTGGCTGCACTCTTCAACTCAATTGTTGTTTTAAGCCACTAAGTTTTAGGGTCACTTGTTATACAGAAAAATGCAAACCAACAGATACCTATTGTTTAGCACACAAGTTTGTTACCTTAGGCACATCTCAAATTCAGTTTCTATGAACTCGGTTTCCTCATCTGTAACGCAGGGGCAGGACCAGCAGCCTCTGCGAGTGCAGGCAGTTCTCGTCCGTGTTTGGATGCTTTGTACAACCATCTCACACCACTATTGTCGACAGCGACCCCGAGATGCAAGTATATCCTGAGGACTTTCTGCGATCATGTGTGTAAAGCACCAAATTCAGAGCACATCCTCAAAAAAACTGGAAGCCTCTATATTTTAAGTTTTCATTTAAGGAGGACATTGTAAATTCTCCGTTTTTGAGAGATCTGGGCACAGGTTTTATGACATGAGGTTTGGGGAGATGGCCCTTAGAAATATTAATCATACAGACACCTTTTTATCAGAGCTACACAGGCAAGCTTCATTTCCAGTAAATCCACTTTCCTTTAACACTGACTGACAGGTTTAATGGAAAGAGCAAGTAGGAAGAGGTGCAGGAGGAGGAGAGAAATTAGCATTTTCTAGTCTTTGTCAATCTACGGCTTATTTTCAAATGCACTAAAGGTTTAGATTTTCTACTTGGCAGGAAAAATCACACCAATCCAAAATGTCTTATAACCTGAGCTCACCACCATCACACCCTGCCAGAGAAAAAACAAAACAACAGGCATATAAACAAATACAAATAAGGAAGCATACTCACCCCCTCTGAAAGAGATCCACATTATAAAATTTATGTAGCTCTACAGAAAACTCAACCGTTCCTTGTACTTCAGACATGATCTTTTTGGTTCATTACCTAGAAAAAAAACAAGAGGGAAATGAAAAGCTTGAGATCACATCAGCCAGACACAGAGAGCTAGGGCTTCTGCAACAGGAACCCAAACAGCACTAACTTAGACAAGAGGCTCTGACCCATGAGACCACGACGTGTCCACTGGACGTCATCACTCAGGGGTTCCTTTTGTAGGAAAAGACACAGAGAGATGAAGTGACTTCCATGATGTCACACAGCTCACACCTGCAAGAACTGGGACTCGGACCCAGATACCCTAATTCTAAAGCTAGGCTAGTCCCTTTGCCTCTCCCCATCTGTCAGCACCATGGAGAGTGCCACCCCCCAGCTAGGAGCACCGCTTCATGGCCGACAGGGCAGGAACCCCAGCTGTTTCACCTTCTGCTCGTGTGACCTGGAGTAAGTCACTCAACTTCTCCCATCCGCAGCTTCCTCATCTGTAACATGAGGACTGGTAACGGCATATAACTGACAGATGATGGGAAGATTAAATCTGTGACATAGAGCACGTTGCCCAGTTCCAGGTATGTAGTAAACAGTCCACAAACGGTAGCTATCATTAATAATAATTAATGATAATAACTGAAGATGGCTTTATCGTTGTTAGCATATAGCATCCACAGAGCTAAGGTGTCTGGAGTAGCACGGACAAATATGTTTTCTACTGAGCAGGGGAAGCAGAGGGAGTCACCAAGCAGATGCTAAACCCAACTTGACAGGTTGTTAACTTCCCAAGCCAGGAGACCCATGGCCAATACTAAGGTTGGATAGGAAAGACGAAAGGGTCCAAAATTAAAATATTCCTAGTCTAGAAAGAGAAATAAACTGACAGGGAGACTCAAGACAGGCTGGATTTTCAAAGGATATGAATTCATCTAGATACCAGGCATTTGGAGAAGGAAAAGAAACTGACTTCTAGTGAGTATTAATTATATTCCTGGTGCTGCATGAAGTATTTTACATCAGTTGTCTGATGGAGTCCAAGAAGAATCTTGCCCCATGTCGCAGATTTAAAAAAGGATCTGAACATCTCTAACCTGGAGCCCCTCTGTGACTCTAGAATGTTCTGGTGGTGTCTACTTTGGTAAGCAGCCTCAGTTACTACCATGTGTAATGGGGATGATATAAGCTACCTGGGGGGAAGACATCAGGTGATTACTTGCAATTGAGCAGGTTCTGGGGGAACTAGAAGGTTCTCAATAGGTAGGAGCTGGCATGATCTTGGGGAAGGGGGAGAATGAGGGAGGAGGAGGAGAAGGAAGTGGAGGTTTGTCTCTCCTAGCTGGCAAGTGGTGACTGGCACCTAAGTCTCCTTTCAAAACCCCTCTTCTTTCTGCCCGCAAGACACCTCAAGAATCAGACCATTACTGGGGTTCAGAGCCCAAGCTCACTGCAGCTGACAGGGTTATGCTAGGCCAGCACCCAAGAAGAAGAGCACAAAGGATTAACCAGGCCTTCACTGAATCTCAGCTCTGGCAAGAGTGCCCCCACAGCACATTCCCAGGCCCCACAGGTAAACATTTCTGAGGACACAGAATTCTGCACACCAAATTTAAAATGCAGCAGATCCAAGGACCCAACCTCTGTAAAATCTGCAGGATGGAATTTCAGGATGATAAGCCTGCAAAGGCCTGACTCAGAAAATGCACTGAAAACCCATTTCCCTAATGGGAGAGCCATCCAGGCGCGCCCTGGTCCCGCCTCATGCACCGCAGCCAGTCAAGGTCCGAACTGCCCCTCAGTTTCAATTTCAAGGTATTTCCAGTAAAAGCCTGGTGGTGGAGGGGCCAGCAGAGAAAGCCACTCTGTGCTTCAACTTGTTGTCACCTTAAAGAGCAACCACTGCATCTTCCCCACCTTCTCATCACCCCGATCAGTCTCAGTCCTCAAAACACAGCAGAACTGGCAAAGCCGCGCTTGTGGTTCTCAGTTTCAGCAACACCCGGACCCTCTGTGCTCTCTGATCCTGGGGGGAGATTAGAAAGGAACAGAGGGAGAAGAACAGTACACGCCAACACCCCAGCCCACCACACACTAAATCCTGCTCCAAGATTCCCATCCATGACTTCCTGCTGCCTCAAAACCTCTCCGAAGCAGGTGGGACTGACCCCGATTCACACAGGGGGTGTGTCCACGCCACATGAGGGGAGAGCTCTGATCCAGGAGCCCACAACTTCTAGCTCCATTCCTTACTTGCAGAATGGTTGAGACAACGTGTTGTGTGTGTGTGTGTGTCTTGGAAATGAATGTTTAGAAGAAAACAGATTTAATGCATAGAGACTACCGTACGGAATAATGCTTTCTAATGGGAAGATGCACTGTAGCATCCTATGGCTCAGGACTAGCAGGATATAATCCTGGAACGTGCAGTTGCAAATGCAGCTTCTTGGCGGGAAACTGCCTTTTCCTTTTGAACACCATGTGATTCGTTATAACCAAACATTCAGTTATTCAGTGATGAGGATGAGCTCCTGTTCAGAATATCAGTTGAGAGCTCCACATTGATTTTGCTGGTCACCGTGCCACAGCCAATTTGTAGGAAGCGCAGGAATCTGCAGGAATCCAAAAGCTCTGGCTTGGTCCCAACCCTCCCCAACCCTTCTTCAGAACAGAGGGAGCACGCTTACAGGGGCGGCTTACAAGTGCAGTCCTACAGCCGGCGGAACCAGCACCCCTTTGTTTCTGAAAGCAAATTCTCATTTTCAGGTCCTACCCAGACCTACTAAATCAGAAACTGCAGGAGTGAACTCAGGGATCTGTGTTTTCACAGGTCCTCCAGGGAACTCTGATGCAAACACTAATCTGCGAACCCCTGGTGCAGAGACTAGAGTTGCAGAGTTAAGCAGATCCAAGTGCATTTGGTTCCTTGTGAGCTGTGTGACTCCAAGCCCATGGCTTTACTTAACCTCTCTGTTCCTCAGTTCCCTCCTGTGCAGTTGGGAATAATAAGAGTACTTGCCCCATAAGATTGTTTTCCCGATCAGCACACACACACAACATGGGCACGATACGCACACAGGACAGACACGCGGCACATGCTTCACACGTCCAACAGACACACACACATCACACACACACATCCATACAGACCCAGGCACACACACACAACACATGACACGGCACACACAGTACTCAACACACCCACAGCTGCCCACGGTGCTCACCCAGCGCACGCCTGACACCCACACACACAACACACCCCACCCACCGAACACACACCATGCACACACACCCCACACACCGCAGACATCTCTGCACTCACTTCCTACGACAACCAGAGCCACCTACAGTCTAGTGATTTCAACCATTCTACTACACGTGGTGTGCTCCTGGGATGCTATGTCACACAAGCACCTCCTGCAGGGATGTGGGGTGTCCAGGTGCTGTGCTGACGGAGCTCAAAACTACATTCAGAATAAACAGAACAAAACTATGTTCAATATCTTATCATAACCTATAATGAAAAAGAATATGAAAAATGATGTGTGTGTATATATACACATAACTGAATCTCTATGCTGTACACCAGAAACTAACACAACATTGTAAACCAACCCTACTTCAATTAAAAAAAAGAAAGAAAAAAGCTGGCCTTGCCCTCATGATGCTCAAAGACTGGGGAAGGGCAACCAAGCAGCCGTCCCAGAGAGAGTGACGGGCCCGGGGCCGGGAAGGCTGGTTTCTGACTGACCAGGTCGTGCATGGATCCACGGTCACATATGCAAGCTTCCCTCTAAAAAAGTGAATCGTTTCCCCTCCCACCTCCAGCGGGTCTTCACAGCCTCAGCTCACCTGGCATCTGCACGCCTGCCCTGGGACTTCCCTGCACTCCATGCAAGGCTCCTGGACCCCCGGCCCCCGGCCTGCTCCTCACTCGGCTGCATCACCACCAGTCTGCACCTGTGTGGGGGCAGCCTGCACCTGGGGTATCGTTTTCCAGACAAACACACCTGGAGAGAAAGGTGAGAGGGCAGTGGGGGGCCCCGAAGCATCCTCCAGGGAAGATGAACGACCCTCAGAGCCCTTCCCTAGCTGATGGGAGAATCAGCTTTATCTCTGGCGCACTGCACACACAGGCTGAGAACCAGGAGGTGGGTCCCCCTCACACTGGGTGATCTTGGACTTGTTCCTAACTTCCCTGTGCCTCATCTTCCTTCTCTGTAAAATGGGCATAATAATAATGATACATTCTTCATAGGGTTCTTGTGAGAATGAAAAATGTTAATATAAATATCATTTGCAGCAACGTGGATGGACTTGGAGACCATCATTCTAAGTGAAGTAAGACAGAAAGGGAAAGAAGAATACCATATGATAGCACTCATATGTGGAATCTAAAAAAAATTAAATTAAAAAGAAAAAGAGGACACTAATGAACTCATCTACAAAAGCAGCAGACTTGCAGACATAGTAAACACTCTCATGGTTACCAGGGAAAAGGGGTGGGAAGGGATATATATGGGAGTTTGAGATTTGCAAGTGTTAACCACTATATATAAAAATACGTAAAAAGCAAATTCCTTCTGTATAGCACGGGGAACTATATTCAATATCTTGTAATAACCTTTAATGAAAAAGAATATGAAAATGAACATACATACATATATATATGCATATTGGGACACTGTGCGGTACACCAGAAATTGACACATTAGAACTGACTATACTTCCATTAAAAAAATAAACAAAAATAACAATAAAAAATGTTAATGTACATAAGCCACTTAGAATGGAGTCTGGCATGTAACAAACCCCAGAAGAATGCTAGTTAATTTTATCACAGAAGGCGGAACCAGAAGAAAGAGTGGAACAGCGTTTGTTTAAAAAAATTTCTTTATTGAGTGGCCCCCATGGTCCTGCCCTGTCCTGGCAGCTCCCTCCTAACCATCACGGCCACCCAGCTGGACATGGAGTCATCGCATCATGCGGTGAACTTCCCATCACTGGGGTGTCCAGGCAAAGACTGGGGTCCCTATTTCCCTGTTTTCTGGGATCCCAGGCCC